AAATGGATCATGGAAATAAGAGCTAAATGTAAGAGCTAAAACTATAAAGGTCTTAGCAGAGTGGCTTTGGGTTAGGCAGTGGTTTCTTAGATATTCACCAAAAGCACCAACAACAAAGAAAAAGTAGATAAAATGGTAAAACTTTATGAAAATTAAACTTTCATGCTGCAAACAGTACCCTCAAGAAAGTACAAAGGCAGCCAACAAAATGGGAGAAGAGATTTACAAATCATACATCTGATAAGAGTAGTACCAGAAAGTATACAAATAACAAGTAAGCGCATGAAAAGATGTTCAGCATCATTAGTCGTTAGAGAAATGCAGTTAACACCACAGACACAGTGCTTCCTACAATGGCTAGAATAAAAAAGACACGAGTAAGTGTTGATGAGGATGTGGAGAAATTGAAACTCTCATGCATTGTTGGTGGGATTATAAAATGGTGCAGCTGCTTTGGAAAAACAGTTTGGCAGTTCCTGAAAATTAAACATAGTTACCATATAGCCCAGAAATTCCACTCTTAAGTATCCATCCGAGAGAAATGAGAACACATATCCTCACGAAAACTTGTACACAAATGTTCATAAGCAGCATTATTCAAAATAAATAGCCCAAAAGTAGAAACAACCCAAATGTCCCTCAGGTGAGGAGTGGATAAAAAAATGTGGTGCATCCATCTAGTAGACCATCATTTAGCCATGAACAGGAATGAGTTACATGCTACAACATGATAAACTTTGAAAACATAACAGTACCTCATAAAAGACCATTTATTGTACAATCCCATTTACATGAAATGTCCAGAATGGGCAAATGTGTACATACAAAAAGTAGATTAGTGTTTATCTGGGGCTGGGGATGGAAGGGTGGAGGGAGACAGAGAGTGGCTGCTAATGGATACGGGGTTTCTTTTAGGGAGGCCAAAATGTTCTAAAATTCATTGGCTACATAACCCTCTCATATATCCTAAAAATACTTAAAACATGAAATTGTATGTTTTACATGTGCGAATTGTATGGTATGTGAATTACATCTCAAAAAAGCTGTTCAAAAAATATTATTCTGCCATATCAGCATCCAATTTGGGCTACTGTTCTTAAACACCACCACATAAGAAATTCTACTTGTGTAACCCTCACTGAAATGATCTGTTTCCATAGCACTTCCTGCCTCAAATAGTACGTATATGTTTATAGCTCTGATGTCTGGCCCAGCTCCTGGTACTTACTAGCCACCCAAATAGTTATTGAACTGAAAAAATGGCAGTGTTGCAGTTAGTTTAAGAGGGAAAAATTAGCCAGTTATTATCTTCAAGGACTCAGGGCCTCCTCTGCCCTCTCTCCTTTCCCGTCCTGTGTGCATATCATAGCAACAGTAACTGTCTGCTTTCCCATTTACAAAGCATCCTCTACTGCCTTAGCTCATTTAGATCTCAAAACAACTTTGTGGGGTGCCTGGGTGGCTCAGTAGGTTGAGGGTCCACCTCTTGATTTCAGCTCAGGTCCTGATCCCAGGGCTGTGAGATCGAACCCCGTGTCAGGCTCTGTGGTGAGCATGGATCCTGCTTGGGATTCTCTTTCTCTCTCCCCCCACTTGCACATTCTCTCTTTCTCTCTGTCTCCTCTCTCTCCTACTCTCTCTCAGATTAAAAAAAATAATAATAAGAACAACCTTGTGAGGTCAGTATGATTGTCACAGCCACTTTACAGAGAAGAAACCGACTCAAAAAGGTTCATCACCAGTCTCCCCCCTCCCCCCCGCCCCCAGACCCTGCCAGACTGCTCGGTGCAGCCCCTCACATCCCTACATTCATAATGAGGCCCCTGACCCCTGGGGGCATGCTAGAATCACAAAGCAGGCCGACTACACACAGTTCACCGGTCTCTGGGTTTGTTTCATTTCAAAGTCGAAGAGAAATGACCCTTTTGGTTACCCGTGGTTGTGAGCCTGGCATTTCTCTGGCTGGAGCGGTCAAGATTTAAACTTAGCAGTCAAGGTGTAAAATAAATAAAAGTCAGCAGTCGGTTTTTCTCAATCCCTGGGTTTTGTTGCAAACATCTGTGGAGGTAAGAAAACATGATTCTTAGGATCAAAGTGCCAGGTCATGCCATGCCCACAACTCCATTCCTGTTGCTCTGAAGAAGCGGGTCGTAAGCCCATTTGCTTCCTCTGCCCTGCAGACAACCTAGTTGCGCGGCCCGGCAGCCAGAGAAATTCAGTTCAGCGGACACTACCGACGTGCCTTCCCTGTGCCCGGCGGCACACAAGAAGCTGGCGGTGCGGGGGGGGATGAGGCCCAGCCCTCGTTCTCTGAGAGCCCCTCGTATCTTCCAGGTCTTTCCTTTAATCATGACACGCCGTTGTTCTTTGGGGGGAGGATTTGGATTAGTCGGCTTTTACATTTTAGTAAAATACAGCCACTCTCTAAGAAAATTACTGTCTAAAATACAAGAACACTTCATTGAATGTACAGAAAGAGAAGAAATGACCCAAATGTTTAGAACTCAACAGTGGTGCACACTGATCTTTCACTTCAGAGCCAGCCAGGTTGGATTCAGAGTTGGAGGACCTTTTATCCCTTCAAAGATTGACAGAATCCATTTATAGGCTCTAAATACAAGCAGGAGGATTCACACAAAGGAAAGGTGACCCAGCTGCCCCTCCATTCACATTTGCCAAAGTCCGCATGTCCGCATCCCGTGCATCTATTTAAAAATGCTAGAAGTAGTGTGCCAGCATTATAGAAGTGAGGGAAATGGAGGAAAATTGCAAAGTAGAGTACCCCTAGTCGCCTGAAATGTCACCTAAAATGTCACCACGCTGATACTGAGGGGTGGCTGGACCTTTGCACCTCAGTCTCCTCATCCGTAAATTTGGGAATACTTAGTAGCTTCTTCAGGAGGCTTTGCCAGGACTAAACAAAGTTAACAGTGCAATGCACACACATACCACAAAAAGCCCACAATAAATGTGTACTTATTAGAGCAAAAAGAACAGTTTTCTGTAATCTTTTCGTCTTGCTTTTCCTGTTTGTTTTTTTACACAAAGTTTTCTTGTACTTTTGTGTCTTAGTTTCTTGCTTATTATTATATGATCATTTTCCATGTCGCTGTGTGTGATTACTGTAATTTTTTAATGGCCGCACACTTGTGTGGTAGCGTGTGGGTGTGCCGCTGTAATTTATCCATTTCCCTGCTGTTAGACGTTTGGGCTGCTCCCAGCGTTTTGGTATTATAAATAGCACCTCGGTGCACAGTTGTATATATGTAGCATTTTCACTTACTGGGAAATCTCAGGCAGGTGACTCCAGCTCTGTCTGTGTTGCCCTGATGCTGACTGGGATCAGAATCTACCTGATAGGGTAGGGGTGGACAGATTGACGTGGTAATACAGCAAAGCACTTGCAACAGGGCCTGGCATGTACCAGATGCTCAGCGAACATTACCACCTCACCGCTGTCTGGGTCTGTTTCTTCAGGCTCGCTCTCCAGAGATGGGGCTGTTCATTCCCTGCTTTCCGAAGGACTTTACCAGTTAATGAAGTCGACAATATATGAAAGGTTCGATTTCTCTACACAATCTCTGCCAGTCATCCCAAGATTTAACTATGTAACTCTCTTTCCCTTTAAAACAATAGTGGAAAAAAATAAGTTTGTTCATATTTGGGCAGCCCGTTATGGCCGGAACTCACTTCTGCTCACTGCCTTGAACAGACCTCATTCACAAAGATTGGGGTCCAGAGGCTGTTTCTCAGTCTGTTTTCATGAAGCTGGCAGTCCCCTGCGGCTTTCTGTAAAATCATAGCATAAATTGGTCCTCGGAAGCTTCAAAACCCATACATTTTACTCCTTACTGAAGTACCTACTATTGGGTATCTTTATTTTTTTTCCCAAAACAAAGCAAAAGTTTGCTCTAGTAATACCTGTTGTGGTCCATGAGAATTTCAGTGATCCCTCCTCTCCTGTCTCCCCAGAGGAAACGGACTAGCAAGGTTAACCGTATGTCTGGGTTTGCCCAGTTTTTACTTATCCTAGTATAATTATTCATCATGCCCCCTTCACTCTCAGAAGCGACCTCATTTGGATGATGAATTACATTGTCACGTCTCACCTGGGAATTAATTCCTCAGCCGCTGGGGCATCTCCCTACACTTGCTACCTCATTTGCATGGACGACTTTCTCCCCCTCTCCAACAGAAGTTTCGGCCCCAGTGCTTTCGCCAAGCTTCACCTGGGAGGCCCTCACATGTGTCCAGCCTGTTTTGAATGCAAGCTAGCCCAGTAGGCATTCCCTCATGTTCTCACATTGTATCATCTTTTTCCCCCCTCCCTGTATCTTGCTGATAATTGTCAATGGCATAGGCAGGCAAGGGCACTTAAATTTGTGTCAAAAGTGGCTCTTTGTCCTTCAGAACTGTATATTCTGCAGCTCAATTCCCATCAGCAAATGTAAGGGACATTCCTCATTCCTCACCACTCACAACTTAAAAAAATGATAGATACCTGCTTTCAAGAAGTTCATCTTAAATGTAAACCTCTTCTTACTAGGACTTTTAACACCCACTGCTCTTGCCCCTTATCAAATATAAGGCTCTTTTATATTCATCAGGTCTCTCAAAGGCACTCACACAAACACAGCAAAGAGGTTCAAGCTGAGCTCCATGGTTGGTCCCAGGCAGTTTTGTTCACAGGATGGGCCATCATAAGTACGGGCCTTCTGCACTAGGAAAACAAAAACAAAAGTCCGCTCCTCAATGATGATTACCTTTTGCACTTAGGTAACTGTACTTTCACCGGCATAAAGGGCTTTACGATTTGGAGGCTCCCTTTTCCCCAAGAACAAGTGTCCGCATTCCTCGGGGAAGGTGTTCGTGGCACAAAGGAGGAACGGCAAGTGTATTGAATGTGGGATGCTGCTCTCTTGAGCTAGTGCAAGGTGAATGTTGGCGCCGTAGTCGTGGGTCGCCTCAAGGAAATCTGTTTTTCCATTTGTTTTAACCAGGCGACTTTCGGATGGTGGTTGGAGAGGATAAGACAAAAGTGTTGAATATCGTGAAGCCCAACATAGCCCACTTCCGCGAGCTCTACGACAGCACGCTGCAGGAGAATCCCCAGGTGGTGTATAAAGTCCAGCAAGGCCGACTGGAGGTAAACCCACCCCCGCAATAATTTACATGGCTTCTAAGGCAAGAGCTATTTTAAGGGGAAGAAAGAAGGGTTAGAACAGTATGACTCCTGTGATAACATTTGCAGTTTAAAAAAGTTTCATATGTAAACATACTCTTCAGTGTACTTGGAATAATACTAAAAAGTAACCCAAGAGACCAGTAGTGAGGGGCCACCTTTGGGGAAGGGAACTGGAACCGACTTGGTAGAAGGACTGTCTTCACCAGGTGTATCTTTTTTGCCATTTGAAATTCTTAGTATGCATACTAATTACCAATCAAAAATGAGTGAAAATAAACTCTCGGATTTGCTTTCTTTTCATCTCCAATCCCATTTGTGTCCCAGGATGTAACCTTACTGACAGTTTGGCATATATTCTCCCAGATCTTTTATTTATTTATTTATTTGTACGTATACACATGTATGAGGAAGTTTGGTCTTTGGTTTTGTTTTATATAAATGGACTCTTACACATATTATTCTGATGCTTATTTTTCCCCACTTGTTATGTTTATTATGTCTGGAACTTCCCTCTTAATGTATCACATAAAACTTTCTTTCAGTGTATCTTTAAAAATTATATTAGTAAATATTTGAAAATAATTATTAAAGAGCTCTTCCTTTGACGAGAGTAATTTGGATTTGATTTTTTTAAACTGTAGAGACCACAGATTTTTTTTTTAATGTTTAGCGTAAAGAACACTGTGTTTTACCTTTTTTTTTTTTTTTCTTTTTCTGAAGAGACAGAGAGGGACAGAGCACCAGCAGGGGAGGGGCAGAAAGAGAGAGGGAGACACAGAATCCCGAGCAGGGTCCAGGCTCTGAGCTATCAGCACAGAGCCTGATGCGGGGCTCAAACCCACAGAAGTGAGATCATGACCTGAGCCAAAGTCGGAGGTTCAACCTACTGAGCCACCCAGGTGCCCCTGTATTTTACTTTTTTTAATGCTCTTCCTCTTCCAAATAAAAGGAGCACCTAATAAAGTTTTTTTTTTAATTTTTACTTTTCTCAAAGTAATGCATGCATGTGGGTTTTTTAAAAGCCTATTTATTTTGAGAGAGAGAGAGGGCAGGAGGAGCAGTGAGAAAGGGAGAGAAAGAATCCCAAGCAGGCTGTGCACTGGCAGCGCAGAGCCTGATGCAGGGGTCAAGCTCACAAACTGTGAGATTATGACCTGAGCTGAAACCAAGAGTGGACAATTAAGCAACTGAGCCACCCAAGTGCCTCAACATGCATGTGGTTTAAAAACCAAGTGGCACCTCACAGTTTATAACAGGAAGTAGAGGCTCCCTACTGTGTACCTTCCTACTCTTCAGTGCTGCTTCCCAGAGGTGAGCTTCCATCCGGCTAGGAGGCCCGTGTTTCCCTCCGTGTCTCTAAACAATATGATTTGACTGTTATTTCTTGATTTTTTTTTCTCTCTTATACTTGATTTTTGTCACCCGTCTATGAGACAAAAGGATTTTTTTACTCTCTTATTCCTCTCCCATCAACGTCCATTCACGCATGTGTGTGCACACCCCCCCCCCACACACACACTTCCCTTCCTGCCTCACTTCCTCTTGCTTCACGTATAGTTATTTCATAATTTTTGGTTAGGTTAATATTCAATATTTACTCTAGTATGACAACTTACTTTTCTTCATTGCTGAGGTATAAACTATGAAACTTCCTTTCCTGAACAAATTTGTTTTTCTCGGAGTTAATAATTGTCTCATTTTCTTCATTTGCTTGGTTTTCTTTGTACCTATCACTAATCCATACCGTCTTACAAATCTTTTAGTCTTTCCCCTTACAGGCAAACATTGGGTATTTTCTGTTTCTTTTTTTTCTTGGGGACACTTCTTCCTGGAGCCCCGTGTGCCCTGTTTTTTTCTGTACTGGTTGTTTTCTAGGCTTGCTGCACAGCTCTTCTCCTGGACCTTCTTTTTGTTATTTCCCTGGGGAGTTTTCCTGCCTCTCTTCTTGGGTAATTTTTTTTTACTTTCTGCATCTTTTATCTTCCTCTTTCATGGTAACACTTTAATTTTGGTGAAGTATACCTTTTAGTTCTAATGTCAGTTGCGAGGAAGGTAGATTTTTTGAGATCATGTACATCTGAAAATTCTACCTGTGCACTGACTGATGGGCTACCTATCACATTCTAGGTTGGAAATAATTTTCCCTCAGACTTTTTAAGTCGTAGCTTCACTTCTTCTAGTTTCTAAGTGTTGTATTAAAAAGTTCAGTGACAGGGGTGCCTTGGTGGCTCAGTTAACGTCCAACTCTGATTTCAGTTCAGGTCATGATCTCATGGTTTGTGGGATCAAGCCGCACATCATGGGATTCTCTCCCTCTCTTTCTACCCCTGCCCTGCTCATGTGTGTGTGCTCTCTCCCCTCTCCCTCTCAAAAATAAATCAATAAACTTAAAAAAAAAAAAAGTCCAGTGACATTCAGTTTGCCTATCCTTTAGATGTGACCTTTTTAGCTCTTGGACAGTGTTTAAGATCTTTTCCTTTTTTCTGATATTCTTAAATTTCATGGTGGTTTGTCTTTATATACAGGTTTTTCACCACTATTCTGGTACTTCATGAGCCTTTTCAGTCTGGAAATTCATGAGCTCCAGTTCTAGGAAGCTTTATTATTTCTGTAATTTTCTTCCTACCCATTTTCTTACTTTGCTCTTTCTGGAATTCCTGTTAGCTGGATGTCAGACCTCCTGGTTTGATCTTTTTTTATTTCTCTTTTCTCCTTCCTATTTCTTTGGAGGTTTTGTTCTGCTTTCCAGAAGGAATTTTCAAATTGGTCTTCTAGCACTCCTACTGAATTTTTCATTTCCTCTGAATGTTCTTTCTTCCTTATAGCATCCTGTTCTTGTTTTACAAATGCATTAGCCTTCCTCGGCCCTTTAGTGGTCTTCATTATAATTTTTGAAGTTTTCTCTTTCTTCCTATGTTGTCTCTATTTCTCTTAGATACGTTTTTCTTTTGATTCACTCTTGTCTGGTGTTAGCTTTCCTCAAATGTTTGGGTATCCTTTGTGGACTGTTTTTAAAAAGCGAGGCACTTTTCAAAAATGCAGACTGGAAGTTCTTTGTGATGGACAGGGCTCGTCAGCTATGGGCTTCACTGTAGGGTCGTGGGGCAAGGACCTCCCTGTTTCACTGAAGGACCCCAAGTGTCAGTATCTGTAGGATTTCTCCAAAGGGACATCATCTACTCCCTGGTTCGGGATCAGGAAGGATAGCATGCCTACCTGACAACTCTCGGGAAACTTTTGGGAAACTGAGCCGGGGGGAAAGGGCTGGGAATTTTCTGTAACTATGAAGATAAACGTTTCCAAATTCCTCCCTATGGCCTCTGAAAGTCTGTGTCATGTAAGCTCTCATTGTTCTCTTAGTCTGGAGAAACTTACGAGGGTAAGATGAATTACAATTCCCAGGCTGCACCTGGTGTGAGGCTGTAACTGACACCCACCTGCTCCTTCAGTTACTACCCATTCCAAACTCCCCTCACCCTCATCTAGCATTTGTGCTGGGCTAGACTTGGTGGCCCAGACTGTCATCCTCAAGGGGCCTGAGACCCAGTTACCACGCCCATCTCAGGCTATGGTTGCTGCCCTTTGCATCCACCCCCCAAATTGGGCAAGCGATGCTGAGAGATTGTACCAGCAGCCCTACCCCTGATGATCAGCACCAGTTACTTCTGCCAGTACGGTGACTCCTTTCTGTGTCTGCTGGACTTTGGCATGGGATCTGAAGGCAGTAGGTGGCGGTCCTAGCTTTAAGTTTAAAGCCCTAAAGTTGTGGAGATGGGAAGCACATATTTCCCTAGTGGGCCGCTGGGAATGATGGTAAGCAAGGCTATCTCTTACACCCTTTGGTTCCCAGGCCTGTGTGTTCCACCAGATGGGAACAGAGCACTATAGAGGGGGCATTAATTTAGGACGCCTACTGCACCCCTCATTCTCACAGAGTATCATCGCCAAGCGGCTGCCTCCACTGTTCTTCATTGTTCTGTCGTGGAATTCCTTAACAGTGGCACCCCTGGCATTTTAGGCTGGATGATTCTTTGCTATGTGGGCCCCAGATTTCCCCTTATTAGAACTTAGAACTGTTCCGTCAGGCTGGCAGCTTTGGTGCAGCGTATGGTAGAAAGAGGGAGCCAGGGTCCTGTGGCACTGCTGTATCTTTGTACCTCTTGTGCTCTGATGCTACACAGTACAACCGTGCTGGGGAAGCAAGCATTCTGTAAGCCCTGGAGTGGTCCTGGCTAGGCCCTGCATGCAGGAAGGGCAAACTCATACTCAGAATATATGTGTTACTTCCAGTTGAGATGAACTGCTGCCCCTTCCCAGGCGGAAGGGGTTCAATGTAGTCAGCTTCCTCCAAGTGGCTGGTTATTCTCAAGAGACGGTCCTATTAACAGGATCTCAGTGTTGGCTTCTGTCGCTGTCAGGATGGAGTTTGAACAGCAGCAGTAGCTAAGTCGGCCCTGGACCTAGGCAGAGCCTCTACCCCTGTCACCATGGCTACTCCTTCAAGGAGCCAGATGCCAGCCCTGGGATGACAGAGGCTATTGAATCAACTGGCTGAATTGTTCTTTTGGTTATTGTTAATTCTTTTGCGAAGGATGCTCAGGTGGACATTAACATACAATACAGAGATCTTCACACCTTGTGCCCACCTCCAGTTGGTCCATCCACAGGCCTCTTCTCCCCAGTTTTTTGTCTTAGGTCTTCCAGTCTTTTTCCTTCCAGGCGCAACCAGCGAACCATGCTTCACTCCCCACGAGTCTTTGTATATGTTACCTGCGGCTGCTTTCCCATGTTAACTAGATGACCAGCTACACTCCCTGAAGCATAGCCATGTGGGAAGATTTTCCCCCATTAATGTCTTCCTGGGCCATCCCTGAGTGGGGCTGTCGTGCATCATCATAGCTTGTCCGTACCAAGCCAAATCATCCATGAAGCAAGCTCATCCTTTATCTTCCTCCAAGGGCCAGTCACAAGGGCCCTCCATTTAGCCATAGGCATGGACCAGTGGGGAAATAGAATGGAATGCACTGGTACAGCTGTGCTGTACTATACCCAGTACAGCTGTACATGATTGTACCAGTGCGTAGTAGATATTATGGGGGCTTAGGTGCCCTGTTTTGTGCAGCTTACTGCCTCTGGCCTTCCTGTCCAGTGCTTGTGTACCTCTTCCATCTCCATGGCATTACTGTTGAGCCTGCCTGACCATAAGACTTGATGGATATGGGAGATTCCAGCTCGCAGTGGGCAGTTCTTGATGCATTGTGACTTGATGACCCAAGGTTAGAAGCCCCATCTCTCCATCTCTCCGTCTTGTATGTAAGAGCCGATTTCAAATGGTGTGTGGTTCCTCCCTGCGGGTGGTACGGCCTTGCCCCAGAACCCTAGCAGTCTACCTCGTGATTCTCCTACGGGAGCCCACCACAAGCTTCCTGTGGCTTCTTTTTGTATTGATGATACCCTTCGTATAATAGACTTTACAGGGTTGTATGGTCCAAGGGCTGGGGCTGCTCGCACTGCTGCCTGGATCTGCTATAGAGGTCTTTTCTGCTCTGAGCCTCACAAACCTGGAATCCTTTTATATCACTTGGGAGACGGGTCTGAACATTACACCTAAGTGTGGAATATGCTGCCTGCAAGACCTGAAGGGCCTACCAGGCATCATGCTTCATTCTCAGCAGTGAGAGGTGCGAGATGTGAGAAGTTGACCTTAACTTTGGAGAGAATGTCCCAGCATGCTTCAGACCGCTTAACCCCTGAACACTTCACTGATGTGTTAGGCTCCCGAGACTTCTACCCTCTGGAGTCTGTGTATCTACCAAGGACTTCATGTACTTGCCTCTTGTTGTTTACCAGGTAACAGTAGCAACATACCATTGATGGAGTGGACCAGCATGAGATTATACAGAATGGCCAGCTAGTCTGGGTTTCTTGGGCTGTCTTATGACAGAGGATGGGCGAGTTACCATAGCCCTGAGGCAAACCATAAGAGATACTGTTGTCTGTCTCATGAATTGAGCTGCTTCTGATCCAACTTCCCAATAAGAATGGAAAAGAATGCATTCCCCAGGTCTTGGCCCCGTCCAGATGCCTGCAGTTCTGTTGACTTGCCCTAGCCGACTCCCCACATCCAGCACAGGAGAGTGACAGGGGCTCTGCTTGGTTGGTAGTCTGCTGTAATCTTCCAGAACCCATTTGGCTTCTGTGAGGGCCAGACTTAATGGAAATATGATGGAGACCATTAGCCTTTGTATTAGGGTTCTCCAACAAAACAGAGCCAGTATGGGAGAGAGAGAGAGCCAGTATGGGGGGGAGAGAGAGAGAGAGAGAAAGAAAGAGAGAAAGGGAGAGAGAGAAGGAGGGGAGGAGGGAGGGAGATTTTAAGAAATTAAATCGTGGAGGCTGTCAAGTTTGAAATTTTCAGTGAAGAGTAGTTTAAAATCTGAGGGTAGTCTGGAGACAGAATTCCTTCTTCCTCAGGAGACTTTAGTCTTTTTTCATAAGGCCTTTGGCTGATTAGATGAGGCCCACCTGCATTCTAGAGGGTAGTCTGCTTTACTAAGTCTGCTGACTTCAATGTTAACTACATCTTAAAAAATATTTATAATAACTTCTAGACCAAGTTGGACCAAGCAACTGAGCACTATAGCCAAGCCCAAGTGACACAAAATTAAACATCACACCCCTGCATCTTTTAGGTTTACACATAGCACTAATCTCAGCCTTTCCTCCCGAGATTTGTTGGGTTTTTTTAATTACTCTTTTGGATAAGAGATGAAAATGGCAGCTTCAGAGGCTTCCACTTGCCTTCCATACTGCGACAGCTCCCGAATGCCATCATGGAGTATGCTTCTTAGGACCGTTCCTGGTACCTATTGGTAGGATGGGGATTGAGTGGGTCTGAGACAAGCCCTCATCTGATCCTGTGGTGGCGTTGTCGAAGCTCGCTGACCCTGGTTATCGCGGCTTGGGGAGGAGAAGCCAGGCCTTTGTACTCCTTCACCTTCCCATATTGGGATCCACCAGCTCCGTTTGGCTGAAGACAAGTCTGGGAGGGACTCTAAGAGAAGGAGCCAGCCAGCTTTCCCAGCAGCTGGGGGACTGAGTACCTCGGCCCTTAAGCCAACATCCAGTATCATATGACCTCATTTGCTTTCTTAAGATGTCAGTTTTATTGAGATATAATTCATATACCATAAATTCAGTGGTTTTTAGTATATTTACAGAGTTGTGCAACAGTCGCTACAATCTAATTTTACAACATTTCCATCAGTCCGAAAGCATACCCATTAGCAGTCCCTAGCTCCCCCTCCCCTCAGGCAGCCCCTAATCTGTTTTCCAGGTCTATGGATTTGTGCTGGACACTTCGCATAAACGGAATCATACAGTATGTGGCCTTTTCCATATCTGCCTTTAAAATGCAGTTTGATCGCTTCTTGGCCTTTTGGCTAAGATCATGTGTAGTATCTGTTCTCAGTTTACAATGCAGTTTGACTCCCACAGTTTAACTCAGTGCTTTCACTTCCATGTTTTAATGAGACTCAAAGAGTAAGGTTAATTACACAGAATTTAGCAATTTATTTGAACATGTCACCTAATATTTTGTCTTTCAACAAACACATGCGTGTAAGCAGAAATTCCAGTGCATTCTTTTCCTCAAGAGAAAGCTGTGGCAAATGCTAGTTTTTAATTGCTCATATTACTCAAGCCATTTAGGCATCTCTAAAGTTGCTGAAAGCTTCATAGATAAAGCCTTACAGAAATATAAGGTCCTTTTGACTAATCTCAATTCTTAGCCCTAAAATGTGAGTCTCTAAATATTTCTAGCAAGTTTACAGAAATATCCACATTTTTTTGTCCTTTAAGGAAAACTAAATAGAGGTCAAATCCTGTGAATTTAGAACCATCTTAATGATGAATATGAAATATTCAGTTTAAGTAAACCTGAATATTTTTACTGGAGTCATGAAATGATAGCATTTTCTTCTTCTTTGCATTAATTTCATAGAAAGCTAGAAAATCCAGGCATTAATACTCAATAAATACTTGCTGAATGAAAAAGTGAGAGAATGAGTGAATTCTAATTAAGAAAGTTAGTCATATCTGGAAAATCTGAATCAAAAATTGAATACATTTGTCTAGTTTTTTTCTCACTGTTCTTTTAGTCAAAGTGAAAACCTAAACATTCGTTGAAAGAGTACAAGCCAGATTCTTCCCTGGAAGATACTGGATGAGCTGTTGAGGGCGGGGTTACTGGTCTCAGCTTGGCAGGCAGGCAGCGTTCACATGGTTTTATAAAAACTTAGTTCCATGGAGCGAAGTATTTGAAACTGTAGTTAGGGAAGCAGGGTGTGGCCTCAGCTCTGTGGCTAACTTTTGATTCAAAGTAAAGTCTGATGCATAGTTTTATATGTTTTGTTTCTGTATTTATCTTTCAACTTGATGTATGTAGAATACTTGGGAATAGAAACCACTGGTGTCATTTAATCCTACTTAAGAAATAGTGACAACTAAGTTTTATTGACGCAGTTATGCATTCCCTTATTCAACCAATGTTTTTTGACTGCCTACTGGGTGCCAACAGATTCAAAGTGAATAACTTACTCTTTGTCATCAGTGTATTCCTACAGTTGATGAACCCAGCATGGTAAGTCAAAGGCCCAGAAGGCAGGGGACACGAGGTTAGAGTGCCACTCTCCCCTAGTGGCTGTACAACCCTGGGTGTGTCACTCAGTGCCCTGCCCCTGTGTTTAAAATGGAGAGAGCGTGAGTGCCTGGATTTCCTGAACCTCAGTGAATGTTAACTATAGCCTCACTTCCTTTAACTGCTGGATTTAAGACAAATAGAAATTTTAAAACTGAGAGTGAGAAATTGATCCTTGAAAGAGGCTTCTGTTCTTTCTTTTCTCATGTAAAAATGATAGGAAAAGAATTAGCTTTTTTGAAGGAACACAGAATCTGAACTCGCATGCATTCAGTTTCAGAAAAGGAATAAGTCTCCTTAGCATGGTGGCCAGGATGTGGGTCCATGTATGTTTGTGTGAATTCAAAGAACTTTCCACAGATGTTATCTTTTTTTTTTCTTAGATAGATAAAAGCCCAGAAGGACAATTCACTCAGCTAATGACATTGCCCAGAACTTTACAGCAACAAATAAATCATATTATGGACCCTCCTGGAAAAAATAGAGACGTGGAAGAAACTTTATTACAAGTTGCTCATGACCCGGACTGTGGAGAGGTGGTGCGACAAGGTATGTTTATGAATTTGACATTGAGGAAGTGCTGGCCATGGGTAAAAAGCAAACTTTGTGACAGAGACATATTCTTTATTCTTTCTTGCTTAGTTGAGATCAAGAGACAGATTATCTCAGGGAAGAAGACAGCACTAACAGTCTGGGGGGTTTCCAAATCTAAATTGTCATTTGTTTGAAGTAGGGCGGCGTAAGTCCTTCTGTTTTAAGCTTCCTGGGTCCTAAATCACCGTCAAAGGGGGAAACAATGTTTGTTTTGGTTCCAACAGCGTAACTTCTAGAAGTTATTCCAAAGATGACTCTGTTCTTCATGGTGGTCTGAGAAGGAAGGAGCCTGGTGACATTTTTAGTGCTTTTGTAACATCAGGAACACAGCTTTCACCAGCCAACTCCCCTTCGATGTATCTCTCAGTGTGTTCACCAGGGCTCCCTCGGACGTGACCCGTAGTATGTTCCACATATTATCCCCAAGGCCTTCCTCATGTTTACACAGAAATCTTATCTTCAGAGACCCACTTCCCTTTGAGGTGTTAAAGATAATTTAGAAGGGCAGTCGGTAAAGAAAGAGTTATGACTGAAAACAACCCCCTCCCCCAGATAGCACGTTTTCCTGTTTCGTGAGCTCCTCAAGGATTCAGGCTTCTGCGCTAGGTGCGCTTCACAGCGATGGTACCGAGCCGGCGGGCAGACCCACGTCCCCTCTCAGGGACCTGCCCCAGGCCTTCAGAGCATGCGTTCAGGCTACCACGTACCTATTCGGAAGATAAGTGAGGAGGCCTGTTGTTTGTTTGGTCTTTTTCACGTAACACGATTCTGGTCACAGGAGTCCTACCTGTGTTTTCAGAAGGAAAGCTTTTCTCCTGGGCAGAAACTTTGGGATTTTTTAAAAATCATTTCAAATCTTGGGGTTGAGAACCAGCAGCCTGAAGCAGGTTTCAAGTCATAAAATAACCTTTGAGGGTGACTTAATCCATCCCCAATTTTAACTAAGGTGGGGCCCAGGCCCAGCGAGGGCCAGGCGTTTGCCTGTGCTCACAGAGCCAGTCGGGGACGCGGCTGGCAGTTCCAGGCTGGCCCTCAATCCTGATTCCCTCTCCGCTGTCATTCTACAGCACCAGGGCAGAGGAGGATTGGCTAGCTTTACTGGATAACTGGAGAGAATATTTAGTTTTAGGCTTTAAAAGTGTTAAGATGACTAACATCTGGCATTTTGGCATCCTTGTTGGTTTCTTCTCACAGGACTTTCAGCAATTGTGAGACCTTCTAGCATGAAACAGAGCACCAAAGGCATTTTCACTGCCGGTAAGAACGTGGGAAAACTCACGCTTGAGGTGCTGCTGGACTGAGTGGCCTCAGCACTCCTGATCAGAGCGTAAAGCTTTATCTGTATCCGCAAGTGCTTCTGAAGTGCTCGGTTTTGATGGGCATGAACGGGGACATAGCCATGGTGTACACACAGGCCAAACAGCACCGTCAGCTAGTCTAGAAAAGTCAAACCGTGTGAGGTGGTGGCGGAAGCCTTACTCCCCTCTCGGTTCTCTGAACAGCTCCTCACGTGCAGCTTGTCCCTGGATTTGGGATTTCTGAAAGTTGCGTGTGCATTTTGTTGCAAAAGCAGCCGCCCCTTGCCCTTCCCCCCACTTCCCCTCTCCAGAGACCAGTGGCGGGTTATTTGTCCGCACTGCCCGTTTTCTCGGTAGCGGGTGCATCCCGCTGCCTCCCTCCTTTGCAGTTCCAGGCATCATCTGCTGAGTGCTCGCTCTGGTGGGCCAGAATTGGGCTCTCGCAGCCAGCCCGCCCTGCACACTCAGCCCTCCCGCCCCTCAGTCCTCAGGTAGTTGCTCCATAGCTTCGGTGAAGTCAGTCGTCCAAGTTTACAGCCTATGACTCTGCTACTGTGATTCACAGGTGAGCACATCATCCCCTTGCCTGCCCTGCACCACTGCCTTTTCCCACAGAGATCTTCTGTGTCTCGTGGGAGGGATCCCGTCCCCTGTTGCTTTTGCGGTGCACGCTTCCATTTTGGTGAAGCATGCCATTCCTCGCAGGGATGCAGGGAGGCACATCTGGAGACCGTGTGTAACCAGAAATGTCTTGAGCTTACCCTCCCGTGGAATTGACGCTTGGGCTGGACAGAGATTAGAAATCATTTTGTAAAGACTTGCGATATCATTATTCCAATTGTCTTCTCACTTGAGGGTTGCTGTGGAAGCCCAGCCATTCTGCTTCTCAGTCCTTCGTGTGTTCTTTCTGGAAGCCGGTTAGGTCTTTGCTTGCCCCAGGGCTCTGACATTTCTCAGGGGTAAGCTTTGCCAGTGAATCTGTTTTTATCCATTTTACTGGGTACTCATCACCCTTTCAGAGAAAAAGAATGTAAGAAAATTTTCTTTTATGGTTGCTTTAAGTTCTCATCTGCTTTCTCGCTTCTCTTTCTGGAACTCCTTTTTTTTTTTTTCAGATACTGAACCTTCTTTGGTTTTGAAGAGCCCTTTGATTTCCTTTCATCTGTTTTTTATCTCTTTGTCTTTTTGCTCTGCTTTCTGGGAGATTTTCTCAACTTTAGTTTGCAACCATTCTATTGAGATTATTTTTGTGCTATTATATTTTTTAATTTCCAGGAGCTCTTTCTGTTTTCTTGTTGTTGATGTTGTTCTCTGAATGTACATTTAAAAACATTGTCTTAAACATCCCGTTATTGTTTTATGGGCTTAAGCATTTGTACATAGCTTTGGACATTGCTACACTGCCATCCAGAGTGATTGTATCAATTTATAGTCCTACTGTATGCAGTAAAGGAGAGTTCACGCTTCTCCCCTTTTTCTCCAGTACTTGATATTGTCAGATGATGGACTTTCCTCATTCAGCCTTTCGTGATGCGACCATCTGCTGAGCCTCCCTCATATGCTAGCCATGCAGGATGCAAAAGTGAACATAACACCATCCTGCCTTCAAGGAGTTCAGAAACTAGATGCATAAATAGAAATTTGCAGTAACGGGGCTAGATGGCACAGAGGTAACCCGGAGCAGGGAGTAAGCCTTTAGCCAGATTCTGATCCCTGGGCTGAGATTGCCAGGAAGCTGGTGTGGCCACACCTCCTAACTTCTCACCTCAGCTGCCTGGATACCTGGCCCAGTGTTTGGCCCCGAGGACACAGTGTTGCCCTCCCAAGTCTTCGGAAAGATTCAGCCAAAAATTCAACAAAGATTTAATAGCACATGGGCCAGATCTACTCAGCTGAAGATTTGCTACCACTCAGGAGTGTATATAGCTTTGCATTTCCAATTAAGATATTTATTTAATCTATGTTCCTGCTGGTTTATCCTGGCAAGGCTGAAGATGAGGTGTTTTTGTTTGCTTGGGTGGTTTAGGCTATTAATCTGTGATTTGCATGATTGCAGCTTCTTGCGTGAGGCTGAATGCTTTGGTTTTTTTGATTTTGGGCTTCTTTTGCTATAAGGAATTATTAGATTCATGTATTTTTTTTGTTGTGATCATGTGATCATGTTTTTAAAAATTCCTTTTATTTATTTATTTTTTTTTAAATGTTTTATTTATTTCTAGGAGAGAGAGAGACAGTGTGAACAGGGAAGGGTCAGAGAGAGAGGGAGTCACAGACTGAAACAGGCTCCAGGCTCCGAGCTGGCAGTCAGCACAGAGCCCGACGCGGGGCTCGAACCCACGAACCGCGAGATCATGACCTAAGCGAAAGTCGGACGCTTAACCGACTAAGCCACCCAGGCGCCCCTAAAAATTTCTTTTAGAAGTACATATTAAAATTTCCACAGGGGGCGCCTGGGTGGCTTAGTCAGTTAAGCGTCCAACTTTCGCTTAGGTCATGATCTCGCGGTTCGTGGGTTCGAGCCCCGCGTCGGGCTCTGTGCTGACTGCCAGCTCGGAGCCTGGAGCCTATTTCAGAGTCTGTATGTCCCTCTCTCTCTGACCCTCCCCTGCTCACGCTGTCTCCCTCTCTCTCTCTCCTAGAAATAAATAAAAATATTTTAAAAAAATAAAAAAAAATAAAATTTCCACAGATGGAAGGACAGGATGTCTGAGATTTGCTTCAAAATCAATCATGGTGAAGGGAAGTGGGTGAGGGGTAGATGACACCAGACTGGCCATGAGTTGATATATCGTTGAAGCTGGGTGAAGAAACATGAGACATGCCATACTGTCCTTTTATAGTTTGAATTTTTGTCTAATAAAACATTTGTCAAAATCCATCATCATCATCTCTAGAGCATCAATCTGAAATGAATCTTCGGTTTTCTTTCCACTCATTCTTTCCAGTGGCCAGCAGAGGGCAGTGGGTGACACCTAACGGAAACCACAGCCCAGTGTTTTCCTGTGGCTGCTCTAGTTAGTCCCTAGTGCTGGTTCCCAGAGTGCTCACTGCCTGCTTCCTTTTCCTTTCTAAAGATGCCTTACTGGGTCGTAGAAGCCCAGAGTAACAGAACGTATACAGCCTGTTCTGAGGCTGCAGAAACTGTGAAAAGTGTCGGGCATCCCTCCAAAGCCTGTGGGTTTCCCGACCTTAAGCTCCGGTTTCTCTGGTTTTATGGTGGCTGTGGGAGGTGATAAAGGCGGCCCAGGCCAATGACAGGGATTTACGAGCCCCAGAGACTAGGGTTCATATTCCGACCTAACTACTGTGCCTTGGGCAAGTTACCTAATTCTTCTGAGTTTTAATTTCATAGGGGTAATTATACCTGCCTCACCAGTTTGTGACAGTTACAGCCTAAGATACATAAATGCATCCAGCACTGTCTGTGCCTGGTCTTTCCCTTTGGGGTATTATCACCTAACAGGTTTCCTGACCCCTGCTTAGCATCCGCCTCTTTGCACTGTCATATCCAAATGACATGAGGCCACCCATTAACCAGGTCTCCAGTGGGAGTAAACTACAAACAAAAGGCTCCGAGTGCCTGGTTTAGCGTTTCTCTTCCCTCTCACTCCACAGCAAGGTTCGTAACCTCTGTGTTTCTGCACGTTGTTCTTTAGAAGTGCTTTTGCTGTGTTCGTGGCTGTGGTTGTTCTGCTTGCTGCGCTAAGGCCAAATCCTCCACGTCCTACCTGTGTTCAGGTTTTCAGCTAGCTGGTGCGTCGTGTGCAGGTGAGCAACCCGGCTGTGCGATGGAGTTCGTATTCCTTGTTAGCCGTTCTCACGCTTCCACTTCGCAGCCTCCCACTCGATGGGGGTGAAAAGGAAGGTTCAGTCTTCCCCCTTCGCTAGTGAATACCTTCTATATTGAAATACAGTTAACTTCAGAGGTATATAGCTAACCAAGGAGCTTAGCCTGGGGTCAGAAGACCCGGACTTGAGTTGTAGTTATTCATTTCTTGCCCCTGTAACCTTGGTGTGTTAATTAGCCCTTCTTCCTTGAAATGGAAGGGATACTAATACCAGCTCACCACAAGTTCGGAGAGGGTCCAGTAAGTACCTAGTAGGTGCTTTAAAAACTTGGGTGAGTCTAGATCTAAATATTATTCTATTCCTAGAAAAGATAGAGGCCAGGCATCTATAGCCAGCCTAGAGGGTGGTCTTTCCTAACGAGCTGTGTTGAATAGCACGGTTGCCTGTTTTCGTGTGGTCTGACCCTGTCTTTACTAGTTCCTTGAAATCCCCTCACCTTCAGATGCAGCAGGTTCAATGGTGAATACAGAAATACCCCAAAGCCAAACACTGTTTTGTAGCCTAACTCACCAGCAGCGCAGAAGAAGTCAAAAGCCCTTTTAGACTCCATACCTGCTCCTCTTTCCTCTTTCCGTGATGGCAGCAGATGGCGTCACATCTCAGACAGGTCACAGAAGACCAGCTAAGCAATCTGTCATATTCCTTTTTTTTTTTTTTTTGAGAGAGTGTGAGTGGGGGAGGGGCAGAGAGAGAGGGAGACACAGAATCCAAAGCAGGCTCCAGGCTCTGAGATGTAAGCACAGAGCCTGACATGGGGCTTGAACTGGTGAACCACGAGATCATGACCACGGCCGAATTCAGACACTTAACCAACTGAACCACCCAGGTGCCCCCTCAGTCTGTCATATTCTGATCAGCAGCAGCCTTCCCGTTGCCAGCCAGCCTGAGTATTCTGGTGTGGGAATAAGGGAGAGATGGGGGAATCTAGTCATGAGACTGAGGAGTAAGCAGGAGCCAGCAAAGAGGGGCCTGAAATGCCCCGTGGAGGAACTCAGAGTTTATTTTGAGGGCAGAAGGAAGCCACTGGAGGATCGTAGCATGACCTGGACGGCTACAGAAATTGAGAACAGAGGGAAGGGAGATACAGCCGTGGCTCGGGAAGCCGGTTAG